TCTGGAGCCAAATTCCAACTTGTATATGTGTTTGGCCTTGAGATTTGTTTATAGTTCTCGCAAACGCATGGCGAGCTGAAAACTGGATTCTTGTATATATAAAAGCTTACTGAAAAATATGCAAAAACAATATTGCATTTTTATTAGATAAGTATTCGTTATTTTAATTATTAATTTGTTTTTTTTAAATAGTGGGAGTATTTTGTATGTTAAATAATAAAAATTAATTTTTCCAAAAAAATTAATGAAAATTTATTGTACTAAGCCACGCATCCTAATAAAACCAACTGTACTTTGTAGCCACAATTGTTTGCCCTTCTCCCCAAAATTTAGTTTCGATCCGTCAATGTATGGCTATTTTAGAGAGTATGACGGACAAACAGAAGTCAAAGAAATTTATATATAGAAGAATAAATTATTTCCTTTGACATTTTATTCTTTGATTTGAGACAAAATATAACACGATGTATTTCGATGGATAATTTAAATACTTCGTGTATTTTTTGTGGTATTTATCTGACCCAACTTCCATTCATTAATACTAGATCCGGCCCGCAGAGACAAAAAGGTTGCCAACCACTGGATTAGGCTAATAGTTGTGTGCGTCGCGCATGAGCGGAAGTCAAATGACGGATTGGTGACGGTTGCCTGCGCACGGATAAGTGAAATGCGTATCAAAAAAAAAAAAAAATTGAATGAGAGACAAAAAGACAAAGTAAATTTTGCAAGTGGATCAAACTCTACCACGCTGACAAAGCCGTCATGTTTTATTGGGTATGAATATATGTATTCTCTTGTAGGGTGCATCGTAACTTGAATGATACCGTTTTCAAACACATAAGAGATCAAATAGAGCGCATACTCCCGTATAAACCAACAATCACTCAACATTTGAAAAAAAGGGCGTTTTAAATAGGCCTACCTGTAAGCTATTTTATAAATGTTGGCAATGATAAGTTCAGTCTGAGACTCTTCAGCCAACGCACAACTATTGTTTGGCCTCCGCAAGCATTTAGCTAGAGTCAATGAATGTCAATATGTACACCTTTTTCCGGATGGAGAAATTGCACGACACATCTCTGCTACTTATACAATTTCATGTCAGACGCTCTTTTTCCAGACTGCTATGTTTGCAGCAAGGAAAAATAAAACAAAAAAAAACATTAAGAATTATTGGCGGGGAGGTTCGTCATCTACCGCCATATCACTAACATTCATCTCTCACGCTGTAGACCAATATAATAATATCAGAGGCACTACTTTTTAGAGCAAGCCCCTATCTTTCCAAATCCTGTTTCTGTATTTGTCAAAAATTATGACAGAGATATTGCTTTTGACCTGCAGTCGTTAACTAATTAAAAATAATATTCGAAATCGAAAATCCTTCTTTTTTTAAATTACTGATATCTGTAAAAAAAAAAAAAAAAAAACCCTGAACATGTGGCTTTTTGTATTAAGGCATCGAAGTCTTATTGAAAAATCCACAAACAGATACTTTTATGCAGGTGGAATTTGATATTCTCAACAACATAAAGTCTAAAGTTTAGAATTCAAACAAAGCTATGAGTTCATGGGCTCCAGCAACTGCCACAGAACAATACTTAACGGCTTCGTCTTGCAAACCATATCTTGTCAGGTCAACTTTCCTTGTGCTGTAATTACTATGATTGTATGTAATTTCGTCTTTGTACCTTCATGTTGGTAAGATTAACCGTTACCTTACAGGAAACTTTAAACGTTTATTAACCGAACAGTTTTAGTCACAATTGAAATTCCTAAAATTTTTACTTACAACAGTTTTCCAGAAAAAATCGTTTTCAAAAGTCCACTAACTATTATAGATCTTTCAAGTATTAATGGGAATTTCCTCCCTAATTTTTTGTTTAGGGTAGTGTGGATAGTCAACATCTAATCATCTGGGATTTATTTGTATATTGATTTGTTCTATTTTCATCTGAAAAACATTAGTTTATTTAACGGTGGAATAATGGATAACAACTCGGATTGAGAAATCGGAAAGCCGAGTTCGAATTCCAGTCGAATCCATTACATTCACTTGGAAAAGGTAACGAATCCTTTTCTTCTCACCTCCCCCACCAGCTATAGGTAAATAGCAGGTCTTATAGACTTGGATGGCAACTGGTCTACTGCGGTCATGTATCGAAAGATATATGATCGCCTAAGCGTGTATCACGCATGGCACATGACTGATTTAACTTTACCATCGATTTTATCAGTTCTTGTTGGTGGATGTGCGGTTGGTGTAATGAATAACAGCTCAGCATGAGAAATCGGGGAGCCGTGTTCCAATTCCAGTCGGATTCGAAACATTCACTTACGCTCAAATACCCTTGGGAAACGTATGGATCTATCTCTTTTCCCTCCCCAGTTATCGGTTGAATAACAGGAAAGATTCTAGTCAACGGCCTTAGTTATAAGAATTGTAAAAAGACCAAATATGTAGTCGTTAGGAAAAGGGGCAGCTCAAAATGCGAACTACGAAATGGAGACGTCGGTATCAAGCAAGTACAGAAGATTAACTATCTGAGAAGTGTTTGAAAAAAAAAAGATGGAAAATGTGACAACAATGTCCGAATACGGTGGTCTATAGCCTTGGTTGACAACCTGTCTACCGCAGTATCGAAAGAGACATGACCGCTATGGTACATGACTGAACTTTAAGTAGCTGACACTAAACTTTTCCTGAGCTATAGCAAAATTTTTGACCTCGGCCTGGCGACTCACCGAGATGGAATTATTTATCCAATAAATCATAGCACCAAAGACAGAAAAAAGATTATTATACTTGAATATCATTCATGTATTTGTGTTGTGGGAAAATGTAAAATAAATATTCACTTGATAAGTTTTAACACGAAATTGAAGAAACAAGACGAACACATTAACAAAACGAAGGAATCACAAGCAACCAGAAAACGCTTACCGACAATTTCTACTACTACTACTACTACTACTACGATTACTTCTGTTACTACTACAGTGTAACCCGGATATAAGAGACCCTGATATAAGAGAAACCCGGATATAAGAGAGACTTTCTCTGGTCCCAAATTAGAGCCTAAACTTACCTAAACAAAATAGACCAAACCCGGATATAAAAGAAACCCGGTTATAAGAGACTTCTTCTCCGGTCCCGACAAAACTCTTACATCCGGGTTACACTGTACCAGTTTACCTATGCTGTAAAAATGATGTAGTATTTTTAATATGGTTAATTATTAGAAATTTTTAACATGTGAAACAATAGAAAACTGCCCCCCATTTTATATCCAGATGTCACTAATATTAATACTAGTCCCGCCATAGCGACAGATTTTGTTAAATCTTTAATATTCTTAGATTTCCAATGCCGAGTCTCTAAATACTTTTCCCAGTATTATAAGTAGTAATAGTAATTTGTGGTGAAGTCATATATATGTAATAGGTTTAGCGTATATATATATATATATATATATATATATATATATATATATATATATATATATATATATATATATAAAAAATCCCCAAATATATTATTCAGGAATAATTTTCTATGGTTTCTAAATCACCTCGTAAATGTTAATTAAAATAACTTATCTCAGAAGTTAATTAAATGTACCAATTTAAATGTTAATCAAATAACCTATCGTAGAAGTTAATTAAAAAGGAGTGTGTATTGAAAGTTAATTAATAAGAAGAACCGACCTTGGAATTTAATTTTAAAAATAACCAATCTTAAAAGTTAATTAAAAATTAACCTAATTAAAAACAGCAGTTTTAAAACTTGAAGCGTGTTCTGGAAAATCACGTGATTCCTACGTTCGACACATTATGTACAAATATACAAACGAGTAGACGAACAAGTCATTACAATTCATGAGGAGGGAGTGAATAAAAAAACATTTGGCAGTAAGATTTCGTGCACTCTTATTATTGGCTAGCCATTGCTTCTCCGCAGATATAGCGCAATTTTCGCAAAAGATTTATTCAGTATGAAAGTTTTGAAAAAAGGCAACATCTGAGAGAAAAAAAGGCGACATTTGAGAGAAAAACGGAAACATTTGGAAGAAAAAATGGCAATATCTGAGAAAAGAAAACGACATTTGAGAATAAAAAGGTGACATTTGAAAGTAAAAAGACGACATTTAAGAATTAAAAAAATAACAAAAACCTAATAAGAATGAATTAACCAGATGAATAAATAAATATGTAATTTGAAAGATTTTTTTTAATGTAAAGGAAATAGTATTGAGATTTCCAAAGCAAATAGATTAAACTTTGGATTTAAAATTTAAATATGAATATCTCCTGTATACCATGCGTTAAAAGAGAATTTATTTACCGCATTTGACGGCATATAAGGCTCACATTTTTTACTAAAAATATCTTTTAAAATTCTATTGCGTCTTACATGCCATATGTAGGTTTACTAATTTTATTAATTACTATTTTTTTCTTGATTTGGCCTCCTGAAAAAAGGGTGCGTCTCATACACTCCTGCGGCTTATATGCCGTCAAATACGATAATTTTTGCGACACCAGCTACAGCAGATTTTATCCATATCTTAACAAGAAAAATATAAAAAGTAATTTTCATATAACTGTATATAATCTTGTTTTCAGATGAATTTTTATAAGTTTCACTAAAATATCCATTGTCAAGAATGTGTGAGTCCTATGTAGATAGAGTTTGGACATCAAAGACATTTTTAATAACTGAAAGATTGTCAAACTTAACTAAATTTCTTATGACCCGATCTACAAATCAAAATTATTCTGTCAGTATGGAATTTTTAATAATAAGAAAAAATTCAATGATATATTTGAATGAAATTTTGAATTTAATTCAGTTTAACAACTTGCAGAATTTGAGCTTCTAATGATACGTTTAACTACAGAATACTCAAGCCAGAATTGATGTTTTGTTTTAACTTTCAAAGCAACCCGAAGAGCAAGTATATCAAGTATGAAAACTGCAAATGCATTTTATATTATACCTGGCTTCAGCTGGCCCCAGTCCAAATCATCATCATCGTCAGCTGCTTTCTTGTCCTCTCTGAAAAACGATACAAATTACCATTAGACTTACAGTTTAGAACTGCTTACGAAAATGCATTTTACGTTTAATTTTGCAAAACGACCTGTAGGTTTTATTGAACGTACATTAAGTAGTGATTTTCCAAGCGTAGCTTAGATGTGGCACAAGGCCGAAAGTATGGGGCACCCAGTGAAGATTGAACTCACTACTCAGTCATAACTGTTCTAGCGAGATAAGTTTGCTAACCATTACACCACCTCGAGGTGTCCATGAACGGACATTAAGTATAGTGATATTTAGCTACCCCCCACTCCCACGAGGGTTAAATGTGGCACAAAGCCGGATTTAACGTGGGATCTCCGAGCCCGTAGACTCGGCCAAAAATATTCCCTATTTGAACGCGTATAAACGGGTTCAGGGTCAGTCTACCTCCCCAAACGAGACTCTGCCCTTCGGCGGGGCCTCGTCCGGGTTCCTCTCTGCCCAGAGGCAGAGAGTTCGACTGTTCAGCTGGAACAGGTTGCAGCTGGTCATTATAGTGATTTTCCAAGCGTAGCTTAGATGTTGCACAAGGCCGAATGTTTTGGGACACCCAGTGAGGATCGAACTCACTACTCAGTCGAAATTGTTCTAGCGAGACAAGCTTGCTAACCATAACACCGCCTCGAGGTGCCCTGGTCATTAAGTATAGTAGAATAAGAAGTACATAATTGTTTTGTATATAATAATTAGCTTTCTTTTTTTTTGGTAGTGGGTGACAAGACTTTTGGACCAACTTGTACGATGGTCAAGAAATAGGGGATGTGTTTAATACTAAGGAACAATACAAAACTGATCCCGCATTTTGTATCATTCTTTCATTTGAAAATCACACAGAGACACCGGTTCTCGTATGATCACTGAAGTTAAGCAACGTTGAACTACGAACTTCAGGTGTCGGTATCAAGCAAGTACAGAAATTTAACTATTTGGGAAGTGTTTTAAAGAAAACGATGGAAACCGTATCTATTCAGGCGGCTTTTCCATGTGCTTTTATCACTATGAGTGTATTTAATTTTATCTTTGTGCCTTTGGGTAATGGTGATGGTGAGATTACCCGTTACCATTCAGGGAACGTCAAACGTTCATTAACTGAACAGTTTTACTATTGATTGTAATTCAAATTTTTTTCTTAAAATCGGTTTCTCATGTCCACTAACTGTTATCGATCTTTCTAATAGTGATAGAAATTTCCTTCCAAACATTTTGTTTAAAGTAGTGTAGAAATTGATCATTTTGATTATATCATTAGGCTCAGTACGGTAATGTTATTAGTATGATAACCGTTTCCATGCAGGAAACATTAGACTTTCTTTGACTGAAGAGTGAGCTGGTTGAAATTGATAAAATCTTTCTCATAAAACATTTTTTCAGGAAAACAGGATTCTGAAGTCCACCAGTCGCTCATTCTAGTATTGACTGGGGTTTCCTTCCTAACTTTTTGTTTAAGATGCGGAAAGTCAACATCTAAACACGTGGCATTTATTGTACAGTGTGTTCCGAAAGTCTTGTCACCCCTACATAATATCATTTTCTATTTCAGATGGGTGAAATAAGCTCATACACGAAAATGATGGTGTTCATACAGACCTTCTATGTGTGACAGCGTCAATGAAAGTGAATAAACTGAATCCAGTACATGTGTTTTGTATTACTGTATTGTTGTTCTATTGTTCTCATTACTTTTTTTATTAGAGGGTGACAAGACTTTCAGACCACGCTATGCACTGATTTGTTTTATTTTTCATCTGGAAAATTTTAGTTTATTTGACATTACTATCAATTTTATCAGTTATTGTTGGAGGGTGTGCGGGTGGTGTAATGGATAACGGTTCGGCATGAGAAATAGAAGATCCGTGTTCCAATACAAAGTACAGATAACTCCTTTAAGAAGTCAGGCTTTAATTTTGATTTTAAAAAAAAACAATATTTTTCGATTCTGACAAACGTTAAATGTAAAGGAAAATCTAATTTAATTTTTTTAATTATTTTTTTTCTTAAAGAACTTCCAACAAAAAACACGAAAATGGCGTCGACAAGCTTATAGAAAATGGCGTCAACAAACTTTTAAAAAATGGCGTCAATAGCTTGTAGGACGACGGGACACAGTTGTTAAAAACAATGGAGACTATGGACTTGGCTAATACTTTTTGTATAGATCCTGAATTCAGTAATCAAATCATAAATGAAAAAAAAGCAGTCATTTGAAAGGTGATATTTACCTGTGTTTCAACAGACTACGAAAATCTAAACTGGAATCTTTAGGATCTGAAAATGAAAAGATGTAAAAGTAAATAATTTATTCAGACATAGGAAAGTGTAGCAAACATAATTAATCTTTATTATCAAAGCAAAAGGAAAAAAACAAGTAAATAAATGTAACCAACAGACATATATCGCAGAAGAAATTATAATTGGATTATATATATATATATTAGTTATACGGTGGGAGCATTTAAGTTAGCTGCTGCGGAGGGCTCTTGATTGGGCCTTCATCACAATGGGCATGGAAAAGTAGATTCAATAGGCAACAATAAACTACAGCAGAACTCAAAATTGATCGCTGCATTTAAGTATTGCATTAATATTTAAGCTTACCTTGTAAAAGTTCAGCATAAAAAAGGATCAGGATCGGCGTATAAACACGTCTGTAGCCGGTTTTTGAACTTTATGTTTTGGACGTGTTTATTCGTCCGTGTCTGAAACAGACACTTTCGGTAAAAACGTATATGCACGTCTACGACTGGGCATGTGTTAATATATTATAGATAGATATGTTGAATTTAGATTTTATTTAATACCTGTATAATATAGAGCTATCTATCTATCTATCTATCTATCTATCTATCTATCTATCTAGATCACCGTTTCACAACCGGATTTCCTTGGAAACTTAAGGTTCACCAAAAGGTCCCCAAGGGTTCCGTGAGAACAGGTGAGATAAACTAATGCATTTTTTACTTTTTATTCAATTTCATATACGTAATATTACTAAACACACACAATATATTCTTGGTTATTGTAATATATTGTAATATAGACATCATCCTATCTAAACTACTATGTTAGGAAAACTCCATGATGAAGTATTATAAACGAACAGTATGAATTTTATTTAGCATTATCGAAAAATTTGATAAAGAAGTATTAATTTTTCCTTAAACCAGTTATTCAAAAATATATACTTTGATATTTACCACGTGAACTACGATGAAAATAAAATGAGAAAGATATGGTATATAATTTTGTTTTTGCGCAGGGGTTTCTCGAGACGTAATTTATTTTAAGGGTTACGCAAGGGTAAAATGATCGAGAAACACTGATCTAGATAAATAGATAGATAGATATGTTGAATTTATATTTAATACCGATTTATTTATAACTATATATACAGGATTTATATTTGATTTAATATCTACATATATTATATTAAATTATATGTATATATACACACACACATATATGATTTAATATATTATATATGTTAGATTTAAATTTGATTTAATATATATGGAACTATATACGTTATATTGCACCTCTCTCTCTCTCTCTCTCTCTCTCTCTCTCTCTCTCTCTCTCTCTCTCTACACCAGTGATAAATGTGCGTAAAAAGGAAAATATTGAAAGAATATAAGCAGTAAATTGTTGATATTTCCCGAACAGTGGATGGGCAGGTCCGTTTACGAAACTCTGAAGTCGGGGTGCTGAAGGTAACATCAATCAGATAAGTGACAAATTTTACTCACATTAATCCTATATATATATATATATATATATATATATATATATATTAATTAATAATAACTTATTTAATGGGAAGATAAGTGGTTATCTATTCTATGTCTGGCAAGGCTGTAAATGAGTATAGCAGCCATTTTTCTGCTACTGCCTCAATAGAAAGTAACACTGGGAGTTTACTTTGTTCATATATTCACTGGCTCAATTATTATTCTGTAAATCATTTTGTTGTGCTAGAAACAAGTCTACACTCAATATCTTTTGCGATATAACTGCATACAAGGAAACCTGAGTTCAAGCCTTTCTCGAAAGTATTAATGAATCAAGTAGATCTTGTTCCGAAAATTTGTTCTCGGTTCTTTAATTCTATTTGCCAAGTTGATGGCGTTACCTATTAAAATGAGAACTAAATAAAAAAAAACATTTTTTTTTAAATTTCGTCTTTACCTTTAATGAAGACACTGAAGGAAGCGTGGTCGTAAGTTACACCGTCCAGTTCGAGAGATACGGAATACTTCGCCTCATCTTGGATTCTGGTCTTTTGAATCTGCAAGCTAGCACAGGCCAACATCTCATTGGTACTAATGGCCGAACGAGTGTCGTTGATAATCTCCCGACCAGCACGGTAAAACTTGACTTTGGGCATTGGTCCACCAAGTGTGTCAATCTTGACCAATACTTTGAGAGGTTGACCTGAAATCAAAGAAAGAAACAAAATGAATATTGAATTATTTTTTTTAAATAAACAAAACAATTAAAAGAAAAACCGGCAAAATCGAGTTAAATAATAATTTGACAATTCAATATATCTCTTCTTTTTCTCAAGTTATGTTTTTAAATTATTAGCGCCAAACTGGTTCAGAAATATCTAAAGTGTCAGTTGTACAGAATCGTATTCACAGATCGGTGGATAAAGGTGGCTTAGAGCCAATGAAGCCGGTAGAGAAAACAATGACATAATCAAGATGTTGACAGTCTCCACGGCTACAGATATAAAGTTAGGAAGGAAGCCGCCATCGATACTGGAAAGAGTGATAACAGCTACTGGACTTGAGAATCCAATTTTCCAGAATAATTGTTTTAAAAGAAATATTTTATAAACGTGTTTATAACAATTCTAGTTATAGGTCCGTAAGTGTCTCAACGAGAAAAAAAAATATGAATTTCTTAAATAGGTAACTCAAAATTTGCTTTAGCCGAATTGGTAAAGGCACATTACAGAAACGGTTTCACTGATGAAAAAGGGGATAAAGTTTCGATTCCTGTTCGAGAGACAATCTTTCTTTAGTAAGACTTCATTAATCTCGGACGGTTGTTATTAATTTCACTGTTTAAGAAAAAAAAAGCATGGACAGCAACTCAAATACACACACACAAACATATATATATATTTATTTATTTTAATCGAAAATTATAACATAAATATGTTAAATAAAATGACTACAAAAAAAAAACCATTTTTGGATTTTATAACGTATTTATGCTATAATTTTGGAATAAATTATATTTGCTCTACTCTGTATTGAGAATTCTTTTAAGAATAGTATTTTTGGCTATTGGAATTTATTCCGTATACACCAATCCTATATATATATATATATATATATATATATATATATATATATATATATATATATATATATATATATATATATATATATATATATATATATACACACACACTATCTCACATCTCAACGGCTAAGCCAGAGGAAGAGAACAACACCAGTCAGGCTGGCTTAACCAAAGCGGACCTTGACAGACGAAGCATCCGACATCCCGACTCGGATTGAGAAATTGAAGAGCCGAGTTCGAACTCCCGTCGAATTCATTACATTCACTTATGTGCATATATATATATATATATATATATATAGGTAAAATAGCCGAACAAACCGGGTCATATAGCCTTGATTGGCAACCAATTTAAAGGGACATAGTATGCAAATCTTTAAAGGGGAAGTGAGCGATGTGGCTCTAAAGATGAGGTTCGATTTATAATATATGGCTAATACCAAAATAGGCACGACGTTATGACATCGAATGTAAATGTACTCTGAAACTGGACTCTGAGTTTGTGTTCACTTTTATGCAATTAATTTTAAAGTACGGAATCCCCAAAAGAAAAAAAATATAGATTATTTTATCAATTTAATAACCACAGGTTAGGTTTCTAAAGTTGTTGGGTTGTGGTTAGGGTTCCTTATGGCCAAAAATGCAAATGATAACTTTAGCTATTTTTTAGATCTGACTAGGCTTCCGTACTTCAAACACATCACGTTGAAACACCGAGCCTCGTATGTTCACCGAAGTTAACCAACCTTGAGCCTGGTCAGTACCTAGACGGGTGACCACTTTTGAATACCAAGTTCTGTAAGCTTGGATGTGCGGGGGGTGGGGGGTTGAAATTGGAAATCAGAAAGCCGAGTTCAAATTCCGGTCAGGTTGGTTATATTCACTTAAAGATTCACAAGGGTTGATCTAGGTGCCCTCAAAGCCATCAAATACAGAATCGGGCATCGGGTAGAGGTCTGCATATTCGAGTATAGCTTGATCATATGTTTAATTTTGACTGAAGTCTACATCACACCTATCTATTAATTCATCGTGATTTCGTTCTAGGCTTACGAGCAAATCACGTTGAAACACGTGTTCTCATACGATCACCGAAGTTTAGCAATGTTAAGCCTGGTCAGTACCTATATGGGTGACTACTTGCTAATACCAGGTGCTTGGATGTGAGGGTGGTTTGAAATTGGAAATCAGCGAGCCGAGTTCAAATTCCGGTCGGGTTTTTTTTATTTTCATTTACGCAGAATTACGCTCGAGAAAGGTTTGAATCTGCACCCACCTCCAGCTATGGATTTTCAGTAAATCATTATTATCTAGAAATATTTTCTGGTCTTCAAGTAACCTGAAAAAGTTTGATAAGCCGTAAAAGACACAAAATAAGGATTTAATTTTGCATAAAAATTACACTGGAAATATATCAGCCTTAAAATCTTTGATAATCCTGGTTATGACGATAAACTACATCTGGCAGCGAGGCTTCTGATCAGGACATTGGGGGTTTTTGGGGAGCGTGGAACCACCGATTAATTGCTGTTGTTCCCAGATTCACCTTGACCCGGGGTGGTAGCACATAGTAGGGCCCCATTTGTGAGCAAATAGTGAATCCCCAAACAAAAACAAAACACTATAAAAATATAAAATAAAATTAACAACAGTACCTATTTATAGCAAGATTATCAGCAATAAATTTTTAAAAGCAAAATTACCAACGATACATTTTATAGCAGAATTACTAACAATACACTTTGTAGCAAAATGACCAACAGTACATTTTATATGTAGTTGAATGCATAAAATTGTGTTAAAAATATATTTAGTTGAAGCCATAAAATTGTGTTCAGACTATTTAGATACCGGCCCTAAAAAACCCATAGAGGTGTTGATATGCCGTTAAAACAAAATCAACCAAAAAAACAACCAACATGAAAGAACTTTTATGATATTAATCCATATAATATTCTACAATTTCTTAAAGAAATCAAACTGTATTCCAAAATGTAACTTCAATAAAACTACAACATAAAACACACATATCACCGCCTCTAATACTTATGTCCACGCAAATATGTATATGCACAAAAGCTGAGTATCATCTACCATGTATTCAAATGTGAAAGCAGAATAACATATATTTTTGTTACTTAAATTTAAAAAAAAATTAAATGACTCATAAATGAGTTGATATGCCGTTAAACAAACAAAACAAACAAAAACTTTGAAAAGTGCATCTCTAACCTTTAAAAATAAGGTCATAAAACCGATAAAAATGACAACAAAAATGAGGATATTACTCCGACTGAATACAGTGTAAATAATATTTCTTGATCCCAGAAATTCTGACAGGATCTACAAGAAACTTTTTTTTCTTATAACAATATAGATTTTGGTTGAATTGAATGATTAAATTCATTTGTTTATGCTTACTATATATTTACACTATTTGCAGACTACTGTCCTCATACAGTATTTACATTAGTCGGACTATTGTCCTCATCTTTGTCGCCATATTTGTCACAACGTTTCGGCCGTTGTACGCTCCGGCCTTCTTCATGTGGTTGGAATTTCGAACTGAACCCTTTATTTCGATCACTGGGGTAGACTGTTCCAGTTCTTCACTGCCTTAACCTTCCTGGTTAAGGCAGTGGAGAACTTTCAGAGGGAAAATTAGCAGGAGATAACTGATAACTGACATCCATCAGACATAGCACGTGGAACTGGAACAGTCTACCTCAGTGATCGAAATAAAGGGTTTAGTTCGAAATTCCAACCACCTGTAGAAGGCCGGAGCGTACAACGGCCGAAACGTTGTGACAAATATGGCGACAAAGATGAGGACAATAGTCCGACTAATGTAAATACTGTACATAATACCTCATCTCAGAAATATAGACAGACTACTGTCCTCATCTTTCTTCTTGCTATCATCAGGTGTAAGTCGATCCGGGTAACCTACAGGGAAATCCGTACGAAACCCTTTATTTAATTTACTTTACGAGGGTAGACTGTTCTTGGTCCACTGCTCATATCTAGATATATCTCTTCTAATTCTTATTTCTAGTACTTCTCAGTTATTGCTCGCTCTGTTTGAACCAAGATCATATATCAGCTGGTACCGACGAAAGTCGCCGGTACTTTGTTACGATGTTTCTTTTTACAGTAGACAGTTATGATAATTATAATATTAATAACAGCACAACAATAATAATAACGAGAAAACCTGTGAAAATTTCACGGTTTTCCTATTTGAAATTTCTGAGGAATCTTAAGTTTTGATTTAATGATTAAATATGAACATAGCGAGTTCTACGACAATAAAATATCCGTAAAAATTATCCCTGTCACATCGTTAAATAGTTGAACTTAACAACTTTAAAAAAAAAATATTGCAACAACAATTATGAATATGAATGCTGGTCGTCATTTTAAGAAGTGGGTACAAATGAAAAGATCTGAAATTGACAATTTTTTCCACTTCACTGAAACGGGGGGTTAAACAATTCTACCTTTCCTTTGTTCTTTTTTTCATTCATTTTCTCGCTGAAACCAAGTATTGTCTTTTCCCCTCTTTCCACACGATCAAAACGGAACAGTTCATTATTTATAAGATATTGGCAGGGCGTAATGATCGTGCGAACTAACAGAAGGAAAGGACAAGCACAATTATAATAGGATAACAAAAACGACAACAACAACAACAGCAACAACAACAATAATAATAATAATAATAATAATAATAATGTTGACGTTTACGCAAATAATGGCACTATGTGGTTGGACTAGATAGAAAAGAGCGTCTGAAACTCAAATTGCAATATCCGGTAGTGAACATTGTTGACAAAACTACCCTAGAGAAGGCTGACTGACTTTTTTATGCTTTATCAACCCATTGTCAGTTATTTAAAGCCGAAACATTTTGTAATAATAACCCTTTTTTTTGCGAGTGGAGATTTAATCAATATATATTAATATTTAATTAATATTTTCTGAGGACAATAATGATTGTTCCAGATCCCAGTCCTACTATTTAACCCACAGATGGGGGGGAAGAGATGGATTCATACATTTTCTACCGAGCAAAACTGGAATTCGAAATTGACAGTCCGAGTTTTTATTTTGACACAGGGCGACTTTCTTTAACATTTTTTTTTTAAAAATGGGTATTATACGCTGGCAAATAGATAAATAAAATGCCACTTTTGATCTTTTTCTATATTCACGTATTTATAAAATCATTGCTAAAAACAAGAGCGGGCGATTTAGTCAATGCCGCATGAAATTTCAGCCTTAAGAAATTCTTTTTAAATATTTCACGTTTAATTGTTTAATTTCCTTAAATGCTTTTAAAACATTAGCTAAGAAGCTGCAAATATTCATAAGGAAAAAGTAAAACGCAACTCCACAGCGCACACGAGTCAAGTGTAAACAGACTGGTAAAAACGACTGGAACGTAATACGCCACATGTAATCATTCAATGTGCTATCTTCGGCGCATGCGCCATGTGACGGCCATGCTTATTTAAGAAAAAAAAGAAAGAAATTTGGTTAGAAACAAAGAAATGAGAACTGAACAGTTACGTAATTTCAGCTTTCTTGTATGGCAGTGAATGCAGGACAATTTCCTCACAAACGAAGAGGAGACTTGAAGCAGCACACAATGTGGTTCTACATAAGAATGCTGAGGATAACACGGACCGAACATGTGGGCGACGACGAATTTTTAGAGAAAATGGAAACAAAAAAGAAACTTATACTTAACACCAGGAATAGACAGTTGAAATTTCCACAGCACATAATAAGAAAAGAGGGCTTGTAAAATCTGATACTCACAGGACAACTTAAAGGCAAGAGGGACCCCCCAGAAAACAACGCATAACTTACTTAGCTTGAGTAAATGGATGTCAGAACAAAGTTTAGGAGAAATAACAAAATTTATTAAGAGCTACATATGACAGGAAGTTGTGGGGAGCCTGACGGACACGACACATAGGAGAAGAATGTTCACGATTTCATGTTACACTTTTGTTCACTATATTATCATATGACGTCACTTTTATGGAATAATAATAAAATTTTCAGCTTACCTTCTACGACCACCTGGTTAACAGGTTTCTCTTTCAAATGTGGTCCTTCAGGACGAGGTTTTCCTGATTTGGACATACGGCGTCCATCGTCCTAGGAAAAGAAAGAAGAAAGTAAATGTATAAAATTCGTACCTCATTTTATCGAAGTAAACAGTCAGACGAATTTGTCTTGCAAGGAATGCCATTGAAAGACTAGTGCCCACACGACGCAAAGACATAAAAAGTTAAAAAAAAAAACACATCTCC